TGAAGGCAATATTTCCACTAGTCCCCATATATCAAATATGTGGATTTACAAACATTCCCTTGTCTTTCCATCTTTTGTGTTGGTCAATGTAAGCGTTTTCTTCCTAAGCTTTCTTAGAATTAAGAGACATCGGGCGGTTTCAGATCTTATATATTAGGTTGTCAAAAAAGTCTTGCGGTATTGTTATTGAATTTTCAATTGTTCATAAAATTTTTTTTTGATGACTCATGATCAGCTCTTGACCGATGCTACGGCTGCTACTATGCCGGTCTCTTTCGACCAATTCAGCGATTTTAGCGCAATTTTCGACGACAGGCCTTCTGGAGCGTGGCGCATCTTCGACCACCTCTACACCAGAACGAAAACGTTGAAACCATCGTAGTGCGGTGGAAATGGAAACTGTATCGGATACATAAACTGCACAAATTTTATTGGCGGCTTGAGATGCATTTTTGCCTTTATCGTAGTAGTACTGTAAAATATGCCGTATTTTCTCTTTATATTGCTAAATGTTTGCGACGTAACTCACGAACGACTTAAAAGATGAAACACGTGTTAGCGCGTGAAATGAGCTTTCCAAAAAGGTATAGCATGACCCGATGCGACGAATAAAACTAGAACTACGCGTTCTCAGCGAATATACCGCAAGACTTTTTTGACAACCAATATTATGACTAATACAAATCTTCTACATTCCATTCCCTTCTCATTTAAATGTGTGCCAAAAAAACCCATTATTAAGGAAATTAAATACTTCTGAACTCATTTACTTTCCTCAAGCACTTGTCCATTTAGTTAAATTCCTTTTCGCTCCCGTTCACTAACGCCATTATTGTATGTCAGCGCTGTTCAAATCAAATCTTAGCATTGTAATTAAATTCCATTGTGTTGCGGAAGACTTGGTTCATTCGCCTGTATAGCATAAGATCGCTTTGGGTTGCTCGTGTAATAACACGAGAACAAGCAACGAAAAAATAATAAAAGTTCTTTATTCGTATATTCAGTCTTTTCCAAGTTTGCCTTCCTTCACTGACTGTGCGCCCTTTCAACTTTTATTCTTCGCATTTTTTTTCATCGTCTTGTGCGTATACCAATGCGTATTCATATCACCTAACACTCGAATTACATGTATGACCTCCACACTTTTATCGCCTGTCTTGTTTCTTTTAATGTTACCCATTTACTTATGGTGTGTGGCTCTTCAACTGGAGTGTCCTTACTCGCAAGTATGTATCTGTTATATCTGTACAGTCTTTTCAACCCCTGCCTTCTCTGCTCTGACTTAGGTAGGTGCATATCCTACTTGTATGAATCCCGCTTCATTACTAAGCGCTAATAAATAGGTGCTTAGCGCTACCAGACATTTTGCGGTATTTCATTTAAATGTGTGAAGTTTTAATTAACTTTTGGAACGCATAGAAAAACTCATTTTTGATTCTGTTATTAGCGTTAGTACGTATACCTTATGAGTATAAATATGTAAAAATATGGTAAAAACATAAACAAAAAAATTAAACTACAGTTCTTTTCGTGAGGCTATTTTTTTAATAAAGTTGTATAAGACCTGATCTTTACGTAATAATCACTTGTCTGGTCTAGAAAGCGTGAATAGTGATGGAATCTTCGAGGGTCATCGATCTCGTAACAAATATGATGAATGAAGCCTAACTTGGGCGATGGAAAAGAATTTGTCGCCAGAAGTATAGGTGATGTTGCGTCTGCACGTCATTTTGCGGAAAATAAAAAATAATGTCTTATATATAATACTCTAAAATTGTTAAATGAAGCGGCTTTTCAATGTTGAACTCTTCTGTAATTACGCTGAGTTCTAGGAAAATACGGAAATTGTTAATACGTTTAGGTTAGATTATGATGTCGAATAGATATCTAACTTGAACAGCTTAGAACGCCGGATTATTTGTGGTACCTAAAACTCCTAAGCAATAGATCATAATACGCTCATAAATCGACAAAGCGCTTTGAGTCTTGAGGCCAGGATCCAACTCGGCCCCATTCTGATGTGAGTGTGGCAAGTGTAACCCTTCTGGGCAGCATATCGACTGGGAAAGAAAGAAATAATTGAATAAAGCGAAATTTCTAGGGTTCATAGTTATATATTTAAACATCTTTCACAAATTATTTGGATACGAAATCTTTAATATTATGCCTTTGGGAAGCAATTGCCCGATGCATCTGGCATGGTCGCAATTTCTATCGGAAACACAAAATTCAAAGAGATTCATATTTTTAAATAATTTATCTATTAGTTAAACTAAGAAAATTCCAAAAAAAAAAGTGTAAAATTTTAAAAAAAATTTTAAAAATTGAAAAAAAGTCGTTTTGGACCACAAAAATTTCACTTTATGTTGTTTAAAAATATGTTCAAACTTGACTCTTTTTGGCTGTTTTAGTTCAACTAGAAGATAATTTAGTGCCAAAGATAATAAACTTTGCCCCAATTCCATACGACGTTTAGTTTTTTTTCTATCCTGCCCGCCAATTAAGGAAAATCGTAAAAATGAATAACCGAGAAATCGCGCTTCAAAGTGTTCGATTTTAGCACAAGCGCTCATATATCTGCTAGACGCTCAGTCACTATTTCTCTTCTAGCTCTTCTAGCTTCGATAATATTTCGAATTCCCATCTATAACTTTGGAGACATATTCTTAGATAATTTTTAAAGAGATTTAGCAAAAAGAAAAAACGGGTTTTTGAAGCTTCTAAAGCTTCTTAAGAACACTACAGTGGTAAGCCTATAGTTTCTTTATAATTGTCGAGAATTATGTTGTTAGGGTTCAAAAATATTAGTTTCAAGTATATAAAAAGAAACGGAAAAGCAAGAAATTTACTTAATTGAAGATTCAAAATAACCGTCAATAAATAAAGGGTATATAAAATATGTCTCACTATTGAAATATATTGCAATCCGTATTTCTTGATAGTACACTTTTCGAGAACTTTTGGTTTGCCTCTAATTTTTCTTTTAAAATTACATGAAAATACGAGTTCAATTGATGAGGGGAAAAGTTTTTCGATACCTTCGATAAGTTACTTATGCCCGATTTTACAGACCATACTTAAGTTGTGCTTAAGATAAAACAGGAAAATAGTGTTTCACTGTTCATACTTAAGTTATACCTAAGTACTGAAAATTGGACACTTGAGCAGTGCTTAAGTAACAGCTAATTTGTGTTTTGAATTTTCTTGAATTTGTTATTTGTCAAAAGAAGAATAATAAAAAATTATTTTTTGTGAAAAATATGGAAATGGTTTGGGATTTCCAACCGTTCCCATAGGTGCTCCGACTCGCTAGCTGCGAAATTCGGGGTTCTTTCGTTGTTTTCATCCATTTTCCATACAACTTTTTTCGCAAATTTATGTGTTGTCTGTTATAATTTAAATATATTTTTATGGATGACATTTGTAAAACATACAAGGTTTGTTCCAAAGTAAACAGGACTTAAAAAAAAAATCAGAAGAAATATTTTTTCGGCAAAATCAATTTATTTTACGCAAAATAGTCTCCTTTTGTTTCAATACAGTTTTTTGCACGGTCCAAAAGCATGTCGAATGAGTGTTTTAGCTCGTTAGCCGTTATGGACGCCAGTATGCCAGTGCAAGTCTTTTGAATGGCTCTACGTCTACATAACTCTTTCCTTTCATGGGCAAATGCATTTTTCCGAAAAGGAAGAAGTCGCACGGTGCCATATCAGGTGAATACGGGGAGTGGTTAATGATTAAAATGTGATTTTTAGTCTTATAAACGGTCACAAGTGTCGATCGATGAGATGTCATATTATCGTGCAATAAACGCCAACTTTCATCTTCGCGATATTCGGGCCGAACACGTCGAATACGGAGCACCAAATGCGATAAATCGATATTTTGGAGATGTTCAATTCCATTTCCATGAATTTCAATGATGGTTTCGGCTGATTTTTGATGAATTCACACAGTTGCGATGGAGTTTCCGGTGATCACGGATTTTGATTGGCCCACATGTTGATCGTCATTTATGTTCTCAAAACCCCTTTGAAAACGTTGAAACCACTTGTGACCTCTGCTACGGGATAGGCAATCAGCGCCATAAACTTGTTTCATCAATTGAAACGTTTCCGTAAAAGTTTTAATAATTCTAAAACAAAATTTAATGTTGTCTCTTTGTTCGAAGCTCATTTTTGCACCGATAACACAAACAAACTGACACTTAAAACGCAATAACGTCACTTCCAATCGTGAAATGTCATGAAATTCTTACTGGATAATCGATGAAGAAGAAGATTGAAGATTCTAACTCAAAGATGGCGCCAGGGGGCGCTAGATTCAAAAAGCACTGTTTACTTTGGAATGCTTCTTGTATGTTGCCCATAACGTTGCCATATGTCATAACAAAAAACAAGTATTTGGTGTGGTTTGAGAGCAGGTAGAATCATCGATCCATATATCTTAAAAAATGAAGCCGGTGAGACCATAACCCTCAATGGCAACCGTTATCGTGCCTTGATAACCGTCTATTTGATGCCTCAAATTGGAGCGTGTGATCTCGCCGAAATTTGTATTTTTTCTGTTTGGATATGTAAAGTCTAAGCGGATTAAGGTCTTGGAGTAAAACATCATGCGTGTCATTCGCCAGTTAGCAGTCGAAATGCTCCAACAAGTCGTGCAATTTGAGACGTAGCCGCGGCCAACATTTGAAAGTGATAATCTTCAAAAAATAAATGCCAAAGAATGTTCTTTCGAATGATAATAAACATTCCCCATTAAATTTTATTATAAGTTTATGTGTTTTTTCTTTAAAAAAGTGGGGAATATCGAAATGGTTAACCCTCTATATCGAAACTTTTTCTAACTTTTCTACGTATCGTTAGCAATACTCGTATTTATTGAAAGTACCAATTCCGAGTATTATTATCTACATAAATTTGGCTTTTAAAAATTTATGAAAATGAGAGAATAATACTTTTCGATATATATATTAGAATTGTTTAATTTAAACTCACCGAGAATGGCACGCAAATGTCCCTCCAATGTTTGCAATATCGTCTGCTTGATCTCCTTAACGCTCTTGCCCAGAAACTGTTCGCTGGCGGTGCCCAATAATTCGTCAGCCTGATGGTGAAAATAATACACGTTCATCATCTGCGCGCAGGCAGAATGTTGTTGTTGTTGATGTTGAAAGGAGATATGTGGATGAGTAAGGGTGTTGGTTGGTTTTTGGTTGTTTGATTGATTGGTATTTGTTGTTGGTTGGTGGTGGTTTATGATGAAGTTTTTAGATGGTTGAATACGTTTTGTTTTTTGTTTTGTTTTTTTTTTATTTTTGATTATAATTTTGTTGGTAACAGCAAAAGAGAGAGAAGAAAAAAGAAAGGAACATTTAAAAGCTGAACAACGGTAATTTTAAAAGTAAAACAACAAATTACTATACAACATTTTATTACTAGAAGTTAATATAGAATTATAAATACACAAAATTTGATTACGTAACAATTTTAGTATGGAATGACAAATGTGAGTGTTTTTTTGTAAATGAGAAGCACCAATTGAACGACGCAATGAGACTTTTACAAATGACCTTTGTGGATGGATATATAAAAAGGAGTGAAACACAGTCATTTCGTCATAAATGACAAGAATAACAATTTATTATTATCATTTTTATATTAAATAAGAACAATACTTGGAGTTATATGAATTATATTAAGGGGGTATTCTGGTCTAGGATTTTGAAAAAATCGATTTTTTTTTGTTGCATATTTTGAAAGTTTAAACTAAAGTTTGAAAGGATTTTTCAAAATTCGACTTATTTTCGGAGATACAGCCGATTTTTTGACGTGGCGTCCGAGTTCACTAGAATTGTCTCCTAAACTTTATAAACGTGCTTTTCTCGAAACTACTTTTTTTGAGGTGGTTGACATGATATTTATCTCAAGTTGTACTGAACCGAATCGTTTGAAATTTAGTTTATATTTTCTTTATACAATGCTCTATCATGCCTGCCTTGGATTTCCAAAAATTTTGAATTGATGTATTTTTAAAAAATTCGAAATGGTCGAAAGAATCGGGTCAAAAAAATTTTGTTTTTAATCGCCATTTTGTTATTATTTTTTTTAAAGGTAAACCCGATAACGACATCCTTACTAAAGAAGAATCTTCTTGTTTTTTGTGTTTTAGATCTCTACAAGGGTTGAAATCACGTCAACCAGGACGCACCGTTTTTTTTGAAGCCTCCCTCCACCGGCCAGTATCTCAACGAATTTTGTTTTTTTTTCTTGCAACTTTTTTATATCATTAAAATGTCAATAAAAAACATATAAAAAATGGATAGTAAAAATTTTTTTAATTTTTTTTATCTTAGTTTAAAAAATCCCTAAAATTCATGCGTCTAGGCCAGAATACCTCCTTAAATGTGATTTGGATTTTTACAAATGCAGATGAGATTGCCAATAATTGTCGATGCAGTTGGCGGCAAGCATCCTTGCAGCATATATATATATATACATATATAGAAGCATATGAATAGAATGACTGATTAGTTGTAAATTATTTTCAGTGTAGGGATACACTTCTCCTCTAATACAGAGGTGTTGGCCTGTTCTGCAACAAAGGTACTGCTCAATTCAATATTCTGACCTCAATCCTATTGATAACCGTTGGACTCGTATAAAAAATGTAGAATGGAATTGTGAGCAAAAAGTAGTAAGACTTTTTAATTTAATTTTGTCGAAATATTTTTTTAGGTTGGCATGACTGTCAGTGACATTTGTGCTAAATGTCACATCAAAATAATCATTAGTGTTTAGTATTGGCCTTCGTATATAATGATTTGTTGCGAGCAAGTGTTGATTGGTATAAATTATCCAAAGAGGATCGAGAACGCTTTGAAGATGAAACGCGAACAGGACGGTCATCAACATCAGCTGAAGATCAACACGTCAATAAAAGGAAGGAAAAAAATAAAGGTGCTGGAAAATCGACGATTAACAGGTCAGAGATCTTACTGGCATCGTTGGAATATCGGAAAGTTCAGGGAAAGCCATTTTGAAAGATGATTTGGGACTAAGAAAAGTGAAACCACAATTGGTTCCAAAATTTGTTAACATCTGTGAAACAATGCTTTCCTACTACCAGGATGCCATGAAATAACCGATGTCGCTTTGGAAGGTCGAGCAGCCTCAGTTCTTGCATTAGCTGTGTTTTGTGTGCTTTGAACTTGAGATCTCGACATAAAGTACGCCAAGTCGATTTATAAGTCAGTTCGAGTTGCTGCGAACGGCGCCGAATCCACACTTCCCGGTGTTCTTGCACACTCTCAGCTACGGCTGCTATTTCTATTTTCTTCATCGAGTGCTAGACGTGCACTGTTCGGTCGAATATTATCCAATAACTAATTTTGGGGCTCAAGATGGGTGGTGGTGTTTCAAATAGTCCGCTCAGTGGACCGATTATGTTGACCATAAGTTGAGCGAAGCGCTCGAAACACTTTTTTTTTTACAAAAAGTAAACTTTGTAATTAAGTTGCATGATTTTTAAACGTTGTTCAGACGAAGTACCAAACCATACTGAACAAGAGTAACATGACAGCTCGATATGACTCACGTGATATTCTCTAAAAATGCTTTTGAAGAAAGTACCTCCAATTAGATCAACCGTTTTCTTTTTATACCTTCTTTCGCTATTAGAAATGCAACTGTGAAGGGTATTATAGCTTCTGTGCCGCCGAAATTAACGTCATTTCTTTTTTATTAAGCAACTATGTATTCGTTTGAATAATTTTTCTAGTTTCTTTGTACGGGTTGCTTAACAAATTATCTAAAGATTTATTTAATAAGCCGTTGGTTGCCATTCAGTAACCTCAACAATATGCCCTTACCATCAAAGCTTTTGTTTAAAAATTGTTTCGTGGGGTCTGTTATGTGGGAATTCGCGTTCCTTTACTGAAATGTAGACTTTCGTTTGATCTTTCGCCATAAACTTGAAAGAGTTGAACTATGACTTAGAGATTTTTAAATGTGAGCTTAAAGTACAAATTGAGCCCTATAGTAGTAGAATTCAACGCAGTAGGCGGATTTTGTTTTGTTCTATGCAAAATTGTAAATCTTCAAACACACAAGTTTCATACTCTGGTTTTTGTTAAATTTTCCAGACGGGATAAGTTTACTTAAATATCGAGGGTCGACTTCAGAATATCGTCCCAGGATTTCGGAAATAAAATGGGTATGTTCGGTTAGAGGAGATTCTCTAGATCAAGAATATATATACCAATAGTTTTCGAGATATTTGCGTTTAATGTTGAAAATTATCACTATTTGAATTACATATTTTTTCGATTTGAAATTAGTTTTACACTTCTATTTTGCATTTTTATGTTCCATACGCATTTCATGTTCTCAAGTTTTCCCAATATAGATTTAGCTATGTGAAACATCGTTAAATTTATGTAATTATTTTGCAATGAAATTATGTAATTGAAAAATTGGATGCGAAGCGGAAGCATTTGAAAAATTATTCACCATACCATATTCTTCTACAGGCAGCGCTAAAGTAACAGCGGTTTTTTAATATACCTAAATGTTGAACTTTGAAATGGCGCTCTGTGCACGAAATAATTTTGTATGAGCGTAATCTTATGGCTCCTCCAATTGGTAATTAAACACAATTTCTTTAGGATTAAGTAATAAAATATGAATGAATGTGAAAATGTTTATGCGATGATCTCAGAATAATTTACAACATTTTAATACAAAAATGTGCACATATACATACAGAGCACGCAAGGATAACAAAAATAAAAAACGTTTCCTTCCAATGTCACATTAAAGTTTTAAAGCTGCATGAGTCAGAAAACACATATATACATATATTTATATACATAACATGTTCAAAATAAATTAGAATAGAAATAAAATTGAAAAGAAAAGAAAATAGACATACCTTAATCAATTGAATTTTCATTAGCGCTCATTTGCTTTATACTTGGAAATCATAACACTCCAACGCTCATTTACCGATATGAAAATTAAAAATATAAATAAAATTAAAGTAAAAACTCTTTACTCGGAATGTGTATTTATTTAACTCAAAATAGATTAAGTAATTATTTTAAATATAAAATAAATATTTAGAGATAAACAAAATATTATATTAAATAACTTGTACTTTATTTAAAAAGTAGTATGAGAAAAATAATGTAAAAACCTAAAAAGTATTAAAGTTGAAATAAAATATATACTGCAGTAATAAATATTTATATGAAATGCTACCATAAGTATACGGTTATTAGCAGACTGTTCATTTATGGTAACTAATTTTAGAAATTTACTTATTCTGTGCTCAAGAAATTAACGGCTTTCTTATTTATTATGTTACCTAAAAACATTTCAAAATTTGTGATTTACTGGATCTTAAATCCAAATAGTATATAGGTGTAGTATGTAGTGTGTGTATGTATATAATAATTGATTTTATTAGAAGATGAGATTGATATTAGAAAAATGTACTTTGAGAGAGATATGGGAAAGTTCCGAAAGCGAAAGAAACTCTCATAAAGCGGAACAGCTGATCTTAGTTCGAAATTTCGAAATTACTTTAACCTTATTTACTTCATTGTTGGAGGCTCTGATAGTGAAGTTTTAGAAATATTTTATAATGGTATGAAAGATCTAATTTATACAACTTACCAAAAAGCTGTACGACTTACATTGAAAAGGAAAAATAAATCAATTTTTGGCTCATAATAATGAAAGATTTAATTGACATTATAATGGTATAATACTGAGCATTCTCGGCGCTTTATACAATTTAGGCACACTTTGCCTTGATTTATAGCAAGGGAAATATATAAACATGTGCATAAAGTCGCGGTCAGGGAAATGCACTTTTCTGGGCCTAAATCACGAAATAAACGTTTTATAAAATAATATTTTTATAACTGATGATATTCACGAATAAACCTAAAATACCACAATTTCATCTTCCATCACTAAGTGGTACAACAATTTCTCTGTTCCTACAGCAATATATCTATTGATTTCGAAAATTGAATTGGAAAATAAATATTCAAGCGAATTAAAGAGGAAAAGTACCCTTAGCCAAACGTTAATGGCAGCAATGTAGGAAGGCTTTAAGCTCAGTAGCAGGTCTACTTCAATTGTTCACAAATACGGTTCCCGGTCGCAGGAATATTTTCAGCACGAGTTCGCCAAAGAGCCTCTCTATATGAATTCGAGGCAGAAATGAAAAAGTGTTTGTTGGGAACGATTAAGAAACTAAATGCAAGAAGTAAAGCAGATAAACACAATGACAAGACAAAAATTAAAGACTTATTAACCAGTTACAGGAAAAATATACGCAGGCTTACAGTTACCATAACGAGACAGGTAATTTAGAGAACATGCGTTAAAAATGGGAATGTCTTCTAGAGAAATTTGTCGCAGCAAACTCGGAGGGTATAAAGAAACGGTTGTACACCTTTCCTGTGTCTCTTTCACAAACTGTCTCTAGATAGTAACATTTAAAAGTCTTACGTTACGATAATCTGTCAAAGTGCCGTATCGGCGGCACTCTTTCCTACCTTCTTGGTAAAAATAAGTATCGAGTAAGGTTTGCAATTATCAAGTAAAAAAACTTGTTACACTTTACTTTGCAAGAAAGCTAAACTTAACTTCAGTAATTTCAAATTTTAACGAAATCCAATATCTAACATAAAGTGCCGTTAAAAATAATTACATTTATTCTAAGTCTATAGAGTTGCGACGGAAGGAACACCACAACGAAGTACGCTCTTTACGAAGAGCTGTAACTGGAGGTAAGAAAACTTAAACCAAATAAGTTATGTGGACCAGACGGTATACCAGCAGAGGCACTGAAGTTAATAGCCGAAAGCTGCCCAAATGTTTAGCAACAGCCTCAAAGCCGGCTTATTCCCGAAAATTTTGAAAAGACATCAGTTCATTTTAATTAGTAAAGGAAAGCAAAATCTACATATACGGTCTAATAGCATACCGGCCGCTCTGCATATTGATACAGCTGTTTATCACCCAAACAATACGGTTTCAGAGCTGGTAGATCAGCACTGGGGCAAATCAGAATGTCATGATGGTGCGGAAGAAGCGTACAGAGAATGCAATAAACTCAGACTAGATTATTAGAACAAAAATGTGGTTTGAAGCACGAGAAATAAAACTAGCTACTATTAAAACTGAGCTGATATTGTTAGCAAAAAAGCATGTATCGATTATAGTAGATATGAGGACCATAACAGAGACACTAAAAACACGAACGATTATCAATTACCTGGCTGTAAGCTTTGACACCAGGCTTACCTACTAGGCACAAGTTCATAATTCGATATTTAAGATATATAAAAATATTACCCTAAAAATATTTTTCAAAATTCAGATTATTTTCTGGACTGGTTTAACAGAAGAGCTTTTCTCGAAACTACTTTTTTTGTGGTGCACATGATATCTTTAGTTCCACTTGTCTGATTCCTTTGATCTTTGATAAAAATCTTTGATCTTTGTTTCCTCCTCTTTATCTCTGCATCTCAAAAAATGGAGTACATTTTTTTTCAAGTCGACGCCATTTTGTGAATTTGTGTTTCTTTAGCAAAGCCCAACGCGATAGCGACATCTTTAAAACCTGGATGGTAAAAATGTTTTTCACTTTTTATCATAGTTCGAAAAATGTATAAAATTTAGATGTCTACACCAGAAAACCACATTGAGGAAACACGAAAGACGTCCATTGACTTACTAGTATTCGAAAGAAAGAAAATGCGGAATATTGAGGAAACAAGAAACAAGGAACTAGGAAAGAATGAATGAAAGCTTGGAGCGGTAGCGAACTCGTTGGGAGCAGGGAGGTCATAGCACATGTATATCAAAAATATAAAAGATTAGTTCAGCGGGAATGTTCTTAAAAGCCATCATGTATAGACAACGACGCAGCGAGGACGAAATAGGCTGCATAGCTTGGGCGGCTGCCCAAATGCGGACAACTTTCAGGCTTTAAGATTATAAAAAGTGGAAGAACTTCACGTTCTTAGATCGAACATGTACGGTTTCAAAATCGGAATCTGGATGCAGGTAACGACAGGTAAGCCTCAGTCCGGGAGATGTGGAACGAAGCGCAGAAGAAATGTGGGAGCATACCATGCTGTGACAACATAAGATGATGCGGAAGGCATTTTTCTATTCTTCATTTGGAACAAATATAAAAAAATTAGCTAATTGTAACTTTGATTTGAGCACTACTGTGTACACGATAGAGAAGCAGTTTAGAAAAAAGCAATTATTAAGCTTTAAACTATATCAGACCTACTATTATATTTTTTTAGAAAATGATTTCATTGTGACGACTTATGAAAAATACACACGAAAAGTAAATGATAGTAGTAGTAATAATAATAATGATCCGGGTTCTTCTTGGAA